AGCACCAGCTGTGGTTCTGCTGTTCAGCTTTTACAGAAGTGGACTTCAGGCAAAAGCAGAAAAAATACTGTACAAGCCTTTCCAAGAGCCTCCTGGAGTTGATACCTTGCACATTTTCCCTTGACCACAAGAGGAGATGACAGAAGAACCTGGCAGCACTTACTCCATGTTAGGCTCTCTTTGGAAGCCACTGACCCTCTCATGCAGTCTGCAAGACATTTGTGCTCACAGCCCTTCAAACCTCTGCCTAGATGTGTGTCTAGTTTCTTATCTCTGTCCCTCTGGGAAAACACAGCTCATGGGCCCTGTTATGGAGGAAAGACAAAATACAAAAACACTCACTCATGCTGAGTGGTATGCTTTGCTTTTCTCTGTCTCTGTCACTGACACGTCACTGGCTTGGCGAGCTCTTGTCCACCTTTGTCCTTGATCTCCACAGTGGCCTTGGTGCTGGTGTCATTGGAAATATCCCTGTCAGCTTCCATGCACTGGCCAGCCCTTGCTTGGGTACCCAGACATGCCCAGGGCAGGGCATCCCTCATGAAAACACAGCGACTGTTTCCTAAGGTGTCCAAGTTCCTTCTCATTCCTTCTCATCTCTATCAGTGTCCTGGCCCCTCTTGGAGCCTTTTTCTCTCAGACAGAAGGCTGTGACCCAAACTCCTGGGAACACACCATGTCTGTGATTAAAGGCATTTCTCAAAGAGTTTGGTCAAGGGAAGGAAGCAGCATCACTTACATCATCACACCAGATGCTGACAGCAATGTTGGATTATAGCTGGTGAGAATAAAAACAAAACAAAACAAAACAACTGGTACAAGTGGAAGTTTCCTGCCACACTGCTTTCAAATCCTCAAACTCCTCCACTGCTGGGAAGTCTCTGTTAAGACTGAATTTTAGATTCTCTGCAGCTCTTTGATGCACATATCTAAATCTGCCTAACCTCTGCTGCAGCAAGGAGCAGACACTTGCACCCTGTGTGGCACTTTGCTGAGGATGTCCTGCTGAATTTGGGCAGACCAGGCACAGTCAGTTTGCTTATGGTTGCACGGAGGCTTTTGAATCAGCTGCATCTATAAAAGGGAAGCACAGCCCAGCTGGTCCAGCACAGCCCACATCCTTGGAGGAAACAGATTCCCCTCTGTGCCACCCCTGCATTAGCTGACACGGCTGAAAGGTGCCAGCTTGCACACTCCAACATTGTGCCAGTGATAACCCTGGAGTGGGTTTTTGGGTTTTTGTTTCTTTTTCCATGAGTTGGGCTTTGGTGATCCTTGTGAGTCCCTTTCAGCTCAGGATATTCTATGATTTCAGCAATAGCAGGATGGAACACATGACACTTGTGCCCATTGACAGCCTCTGTTTTAATAGCATACAAGCAATGTTAGGGACACAAGAGAGTCCTGGACTTCCAGAGTAACTACTGTATGCAGATTTCAGACTGACTCAGCTGCTGTTAATGTTCACCTGCTGCCCCTATTACCTGTTGGCATTGGAGATTTCTGCACATTTCTGTGTCAGAAGTGAAGGCACAAGCATGCTTCTGGCAGGTCAGAATACCCCAACACCCCTCACACCCCAACAAAACCTGGAGCAATTGCTCCAAAAGGGCATTATTCCCTGTGGGAAACAGTGCTTTGCATAAAGCAAGGAGGAGCCAGGAGAGTGGGGATTCTTGCAAGTCCTCCTACTCTGCTCACAGCAGCAGCCAGCCTCATCTCTTTGCAGGAGTACAGGAACAAGGCCAGCCCTGGCAGTGTCCACAGCTGCAGCACAGACAGCAGCTGCCTACCCCAAAGGCAGGATGTGAGTACAGGCATGCCCAGACTGGGCAGAGGGCTACAAGGGGCAGCAGAGCTACACCCAGCAGGGCCAGCATCACCCCACGCCCTCCCCTTGCTTGTGAGCCCTCTTGGAAAGGACCAGCAGCACACAGGATTCCTACAGAGCATCTTTGAGATGCCAGAGTGCTTTGGGGAGGGATGCACTCCCACTGAGACAGCCCCAGCACACAAGGAGATCCCAGGTGAGAAGCACAGCCCGTGCCTCAGGATCCCATGCTGCAGGATCCCTCTCAGCTGGCATGGCACAAACACAGTTTGTTGTGCTTACACTTGGACACAGACCCTTGTGACACCTCTTCCACACCTGTACAGCTCTGCAGGATGGAGACCAGGGCTAGCAAAGAGAGCAGTGAAGGGGAAGGAGGGTTGGGCTGTGCCTGGCCCTGGGCTGGCCCTTCTTCCCCCATCATCCTCAGTGAATCCTCCTTATGGCCCAGCAACCTCCCTTGTCCCCAAAACACGTCCTGACCCCAGTCTCCTATGCACCCCCTGTGGACAAAAGTGTCTTTTGCTCTTTCCTCAGTGCTCGACAAGGATTGTTGAACCCCACTTCAGAAAGCTTTGACTTTCAGACAGGAGGTGCTCAGCACTTCCCAAAACACGTCAGGTGTCCATCATGCAGTCAGCACAGCTGCTGCAGTGAAACCAGCCCTGCACACGTGCTGGCCCTCAGCACTGGATGGAGCATTCAGACCTGCCACCACTGCACCTGAGGAGGCAGCTTGCAGGCAGAGCAGCAAGGTGTCTGCAGGGTATCCTCCGCTGCTGGAGGCTGCAGCAGCTGCCTGGGTCTCTCTGCCTCATTACAGGACAGCCTGCTTCTCATGCCAGCCTCCAGTAGCATGTCCTTTAACCAAAAGTGAAAGCAACTGATCCCCCACGAAGGCACATCTGCTCCAAGTCCATATTACAACAGGGGAAAAAATGACACCTTCAGCTATAAAAACCAATAAAGACTGTCTGATTTGGTTTGCCCCTGTTGCTACCCAGCAAGCCCCCCACTGGGTTAAATACTGGTGACATCTGCTAATAAAATGTCAGGAGTGAGGAGAACAAAACTGATTACTGAATTATATCAAGTGCTCAGTGCAGCTGGAAGGGCAAATCCACCCCACGTCACCCCCAGGCCGAGGGCAAGCAGGACATCTGTACAGCCCTGCACAGGCAGTGCTGCAGGACACGTGGGCAGGAGGCAGAGCAGCAGCTACAAAGGACAAGGCGAGGGGCTCTCTGCAGAGAGGGCTCCCCAAGGTCGGGAAATGGTCAAATTAGCTCTGCCATCGGGCACCCACAGGCCAACATCAGTGATGTGCTTCTCCTGCTTACATAGGAGGAACGTACAGCAGGTAGAGAGCCTTGGGACCCCTCCAGGAGCACCATGCACCCACCCAGACCCACCCTGTGAGGCAGGAGAGGGAGGGTGTTATGGTGCCCCTGGGGTTCCCCCTAACAGACAAAGATGTTGGAGACCTGACTATGCCTCTCCAAACCTGCAGCCCTGTTACAAAAGCAGTTTAAACAGCCTGCTGAGGACAGCATTATTGTCCAGCCTAGGAGCTCAAACCCCATGACTCATCCTGCCAAACTGATGGGGGCTGCTTTAGCAGTCACACGCGCATTTCTGAACGTGAACTGAAAAAAGCTGAGGAGGTTCTCAGCTCTACTTCTGGAACTGCTTTTGCTTTTCAAGGAAGCACTTAATCCTTTTCTCTGCAGTTAAAGCAGTGTCTTCTGACAGGCACCCAAAAAATGGCTCTGTGAAGCCATGTGGTATCAATACAGACGGCCTGTCTCCTGACCTGGCTGATAAAATAAAAAACTTCTACACTACCTGCTTTAATGCATGTATTTAACTATGCATTTATAACCTGGATTTGGAAAAACAAAACCCAGGTGTATAATCACAGAATTAAGTAACAATGGTATATTTAGCAAGAAGCTGAGCACAAGGAGCTTTATACTCCCACCAACAAATTAGCTCCCATGTGGCTGAAATTGGCCCCCCAGCCTCTTGCAGTTTTTCTCCCAGTTCAGTAAATCTGGGTCTACTCTGCAACCTGATCATGTGTTTCCACTAAAGGATCAAGGCACGTGGCCCTGTTTGTACAGCTCAGCACCAGGCTGCTGATTTCAGCTGTGTTTCCCCCAGGAGAAGGGGGCGGGTTGGGGGTGCCACTACAGCTTCAGCCTGCCCCCCACCACCCACCCCTCCATCCCCGAGGGTTGGGGCAGCAAGGGATCTGCACCTGCACTGTTTGCAGGGCACTGCTGGACCTGCACCAGCAGCAGGGGCTGAGGAACTCCTCGGCAAGAGGCAGGAGGCTGATTCAGCAGCAATCACCCCTCCTGCACATGCCCTCTGCATCCTCAGCTGGAAAAGCCCCACTACAGCTCTGGTGTCCCCTCTGCTGTACAAACTGTGTCCACAGCCATGGCCTCAGGTTCTCCATGTAGGTTCTTCCAAAATGAAAGCAATGCTTTAAACTAAAGGTACTTTAAAAAGACACCAGCAGAGAATTTGTGCTCTTGTACCTTCCACTCCACCTCTGGTGCCTTTCTCTCCAAAACATTGTTTTCAGGAGGATGCAGAACAAAACAGGACCATACACCCTGTGAATCTGAGGAGTGTATCAACAATATCCAACCCCAACTGGACTGTGCTTACTTCCACCCTTCAAGACTGACAAATGTCCCTGGTGAAGCAAGTCCTGAGAGAAACAGCACAGCAGATGTCTGTGCAGTTAATTTTCTGTCATTTTGCAGGTATTTCCTATTTCAGGCGGCCACACAGTCAACACAACTGTGTCTGTTCCCCTATTTACTGGCAGGAGGGAAAAGTTCCACAGTGTGGAGGAATGCCTGGCTCGAAGCTGACACACTGCCACAGCTTTCCAGAACACGTGGAGAAGCCACTGAGTCACTGGGACGGTCCCTGGCCTGTCTGTGACCTTGGCAAGGTCGTGCTGAAGCAGAAGCACCCTGCGCTGCAGGGGCTGTCCCCAGCTGGACAGCAGCACAAGCACACAGCAGCAGCAGCCCTGCCCAGCTCTGCCAGCTCTGCCCAGCTCTGCCTAGCCCTGCCCAGCCGTGCCCAGCCGTGCCCTGCCCTGCCCACCCAGGCCCAGCTCTGCCAGCCCTGAACACAGCCCCACTACCTTCGTCCCGCTTGCGCTTGTTGCTCTCGGTGCCGGGGGAGGCGATCCCCAGGATGCCACTGATGGAGTAGGACGAGCCAGCAGAGTCGGTGGTGACCGAGGACACCTGGGTGACGGATCCTGTGGAGGCTGCAAGGCAAGGACAGGCCGTCAGTCAGGGCAGCACGGGCACCAGCTTACGCAAAGTCCGCTGGCCCCCGTGGCGTGAGGAGGGGGCTGGGGCTCGGCTGGCCACCGTGGCCCCTCCAGCTCAGCAAGAGCCTTACCCACCCAGCCATGCCCCGTCCAGTCCAGCATGGCACAGCAGCCCGGTGCAGGGGTGGCAGGAGAGGCATGGTCAGCCCTCGCCCCCTTCACAGGGTTGGGTCTGTGTGCTGAGGGACAGGAGAGGCTTTTCCTTAGCGGTCACACAGCCCATCTCTCACAAGGCTCGGTGGAAAAGCTCCTTGCTTGGGGCAGCAGAGGCGCCCCAGTGGGACAGCAGCAGCGTGGACAGAGCCTGCTGGGAGCACAGCCATGCCGAGAGAGGAGCTGCCACAAGAGGGTACCCGGGACAGGAACCTCCTGGGAGCAGAGCACCCTGCGCTCTCTGCATCCTGCCAGACCACGCCACCAGCCTCTGCCAGTGGAGACCTTGCTCAGCCGGGGTTGCCTGGGGATGGATGGGTGAAAGACCCTGAGGATCCCAGAAAAATGACCCAAATCCATTTTGCTTTGGAAGAGCCCTCAGAAAAGGGTACTCTTAGTGTCCAGCAAGGGCAGTCACTCAAGGGCAGTCTGGATGCGGCAGACTGCGCAGCAAACTCTGCCCTTGTGCTGCTGTGGGTGTCCAAGCCTTCATGGAAGCAGGCAGAGGAGGGAGCAGCACCACCACCTCCACCAGCTGACAGGCTGAGCCTGCCCTGCCACGTCCCTACATCCTAGAAATCACCACACAGGCCCAAGGACAGGATGGGGGGTTACGCATGTGCGACCACACCAAAGACCCCCAGACACAACTCACACATGGAGCAAACCCATGTCAGGAATCCATGCTCCTTCTATCAACTCCAAGCCCCTAGAAACAAGATTTTTCATCTCTGTTCTTGACTTTTTCAAGACGAGAACAGCAACTAAGCCACCACAGTGAGATAAAGGGAGCTTTTCTTCCCCAAGTTCATTTTGGCATTTTCTGGAGAGAAAGGCTAAGGGTGCAGGGTCAGCAGCATGAGTCCTCTGACAAGCTCAAAAAGTGCAGGTGCTCTGCACCTCCACTCCCTTTCTCCCAGTGCCAGCAACCCTTGCCAAGAGAGAAGCAGCAAGCATTTCACCATATCACAGGTGACAACATAAAGGCAGAGAGAAGCTAGGGCCCTCCACCACTTGCTGTGAAACAAGGGCTGACCAGTGCCCTGACGGGTTTGATGGAACAGGGACAAGAAGAGAGCAGCCCTGAGCCCCAAATGAGCCCTGGCTGAGCCCCTCCATCCCCGCTGCATTGCAGCACAGGAACACCCACCCTCCTCAGAGAGACAATGAGGCAGGAGAAGGCTGAGGGTGCCCAGCAGCCTGGGGGTCTCCTCTGGGTCACCCTCCACCAGCATCACCTCCCTCAGGCTGCAGCATCACTGCTCTGAGGCTGAATTAAAAGTTTCAGAAAGTTTTGCTACCTCTTCACTCAAGACTGCAAGTGCACAAAGAACTATGGAAGGGATGGTTGATAGATGGAAAAAACACATTCAAAACTACTTACTGACTAATGATGCAGAAAATGTTATGAATAAGTGTCCCTTTCTTGATTTATTACTTTAATTATCTGACATTCTATAGACCCCTATTAGTGGGGTTTTTTTGGTTTAGATTTCAATTTTCTGTCTCATGGTGAAAGCTATTTATCATAATAATCAGTAAAATTCAAAACCTTTTAGCAGTATTTATAAAATTCATTTACTATGTTCAGCCCTTGGAGAATGACAAAGAAGGCACATTAGCACGTGTGCTGAAGTGTTTTATGCAGAATTATCTGTCCATAAGAATGATTAAAAGTTCTTCAGAATATTTGTAATCCATTATTATTTTTTAATGTATTTTTAAAAAAGTTTTCCTTACCTATGCTGTGACTGGAAGCCGGGACCTGCTGGTTGGGTGGCTGCTGCACCTTGGTCCTTATGATCCTGTGAGTAATGCAAAAAACATGACCACTTAGCCAGCACTAGGCGTGCAATGGCAGGAGGCATTAGACACTATTTTTTCAGCGGAGGACACCTACATCAATATGCAAGATGCCTTTCTGCATATGCTCCCCTCGTCATTCACTGAAAGATCACAGTTTGGCAGGGGGACCCAGGAGCACGTTTGTGCCCCCAGCCCCTGCCATTAGAGTCACCAGGGTGACATTCCACAGAGCCACAGAGCCACAGAAGGGTTTGGGTTGGGGGAGACAGCAGTAGGTGATCTGTGCCCTGCTCAAGCAAGGTCACCCCAGAGCACACCGAGCAGGATTGCAGCATGCCTCGGAGCAGCATGCCTTGGAGCAGCATGCCTCGGAGCAGCATGCCTCGGAGCAGCATGCCTGGGAGCAGCATGCCTCGGAGCCGGGCGCTTTGGTGCCTTTGGGGAGCCAGCCCCCGTGCCCAGGAAAGAGCTACCCACCACTCTGAGCCAGCCCCCGTGCCCAGGAAAGAGCTACCCACCGCTCTCTGAGCCAGCCCCCGTGCCCAGGAAAGAGCTACCCACGAGCCAGCCCCCATGCCCAGGAAAGAGCTACCCACTGCTCTCTGAGCCAGCCCCCGTGCCCAGGAAAGAGCTGCCCGCCGCTCTCTGCGCTGCCAGCAGGCCTTACCCCTCCCCAGGGAGCTGGACCCTTTGAGCCCAAGGGCCAGCAGGCTCTGCTCTGCTCTCTGGGGGGCAGGGACACATCTGCACGGCTGTTCCTGGAGCACACCAGGGGTGGCACTCACATGCTAGAGGCACTTGGACACCTTAGGAAACAATCAGCTTAGCCAATTTTTTTTTTTTTTTTTTTTTTTTTTTTTAAGCAGCAAAAATGTATTCAGCCCCTTCTTCAAGATGTTGTTTTTGGTTGGAATAAATGCTAATCTTAAAAGCTGCATTTATCATCACTGGGTACATGCAGTCGCTGCTCTGATTGACAGTGACGTCAATGAGAAAAAATTCAGAGACAGATAAAGCAGAAGGCATGTGTGGTGGTGCAGGACAGAGGGTACCTGCTGCGAGGGGAGGTTCTGGGGAGATGCTGCACACGTTATTTACCTGCCCATGTGCTATGAAGAAATGACAGACAGGGTCAGAAATACCTCTGGAGATCACACAGCTCTGCCTCAGGCTGCAGCAGAATTGGAACAGGCTGGAACCTTGGTTCCATGCCCCTGGTTCACCACACACTCCCCAGCCCCAGGCACTGTCACAGCAGCAATGCCAGAGTGAACATTCCCCTCCCTGTGCCTGACAAACTCCCTCCCATTCCTGCCTGCCACGAACGGAGAGGAGAGGAGAGGAGAGGAGAGGAGAGGAGAGGAGAGGAGAGGAGTGGGCTTGGGGGTGAACTTGCAGGAATTCACAGCAGCTCCGTGCTGGCAAGCCCCCCGTAAGCAGGCCCAGGGACCACCACTGGTGACACCCAGCTCCATCCCAGAAAAGGATGCACTGCCATCCTTCCCTTCCCGTTCCTTGGAGGAGTCTGGTGGAGGCTGGCAGAGGTCTGGTCTGCCCACAAGGCATCTCTCAGCTGCCAGCCCCAGGGTGAAGCTGCTGGGCGTCAGGCACAGCCAGGGGGTGGGTTACAGCAACAGAGCCAGAGCAGCCAGCCCAGTGTGAGGGCAGGAACTGCTGGGACAGCAGCTTTGGTGGGGAGCACAGCAAAGAGACAAGACCCTGTGGTCAAACAGCCCACTGCACAAGGCTGTCGTGGTAAAGAAGGGTGTCCAGGGCCTGCTGACACACAAACATCTTTATCTCTGGAGGAATGGAGACTGGAGCACTTGAAAGCAGCTGGACAGCTCTCAGCCCATTTGAGCAAAGCTAATCACAATGATTAATTAAGTCTTAACCACACAGACTTGCTTCTGCTATTGAAGAGAAGCCTATTATTAAAATTAATGTTATTAATTAATAATTATTATTATTATTATTCACTGCTACATGGAGGCAGCATCTCAAACCTGTCTGCTGAAAGGCCCCCTCGGTGGCAGGGATGAGCTGCACGAGTCCATCCCCGAACCCGGCGTTCCACAGGAGCAGCACCAGCCCCGCAGGAGCAGCACCAGCCCCGCGGCCGGAGCAGCACCAGCCCCGCGGCCCGAGCAGCACCATCCCCGCGGCAGGAGCAGCACCAGCCCCGCGGCCCGAGCAGCACCAGCCCCGGCTGCGGGGCCGGGACAGCGAGCCGGGGTGCCGGGCTCCCCGCAGAACGGCACTGCGGACGGCAGGGCCCGCAGCGAGACCCGGCTCGGGCTGGCGCTGGCCGCAGCCCCGCTCGTACCTCAGTGCGGGACAGGAGTATTGCGGGCAGGGCTCTGCGTCCTCTCCCACCTGAAAAGCCCCAAAGCATTCTCACTTTAAGTATGAGGATAAACCCCACAGACTGCTGGAACTGTAGGATTAATGCTAAAGCCAAGAGTTTTGGCGTGAATTTCAGGTTCTTTGTCACATTATTGTTCAGACTGGGTTTTCACAATGAGCTCCTAAGCTGGCAAAAACAATTCGCTGGGTAAACAGATTGACTCAAACAGATTGCATGCATTTCTTAAAAGGGATTGCAAACCTTTGAGAAAAGGAAAATATCTTAGCCAGAGTCACAAGCAGATGAGAAAGAATTAGATTTACAGCCAAAACTTGGTGAGTGATCATGAAGTGGTGTCTGATACAAGGGCAGTAGGGGTGTGGGCATTGTGAGTGTGGAAACATACAAGGACACAGCAAGAGGAACACGGAAAAAGGCTCAAAATATGACTGGAAGCTACTTCAATCTCCCTTTTACCTAGAGCTGTGACTGCCCTTTTTGGTAGTTTTTTGGAGGACACGTGACATTCCCCTACACAAGCAGAGGACTGCTTCTAACAGCCATGCTTCTCTCATGAGTCATTGACATTAATGGAAGCAGAGTTTTCCTCAGGTATTTGATATTTTCCTTTGGTTTTCCTGGTGTCTGCAATATTTCTCAAGCCCTCTTTAAACCGAAGACACCATGTCCATAGAGTTACTGCTGAGGCTCTGCAGCCTCCAGGTCAGGGGCTCCCCAGCAGCAGAGGCTGCACGTGGACTGACCCATTTTTTCTTTTAATTCCACCACCACATGACTCGACATTCAGCCCATCAAGGCAGGGCTGCACTCTCCCCTAGCGCTGGGGAAGCCACTCCGGCTGCTCAAGCGGCAACTCCATGAATGCAAATCAGACTGGGATAGCCAATAAAAGAATATTGCATCAATTTATTTCACGTCTGGACGCAAATGAGAGATTTTATAGCGAGCTGCATTCAAAGAATTTGCATGCAGTTGCACAAGTGAAAATCATCTCACCAGCGTGGTGAGGAGGAAGCCCAGGACAGGGTTAAAATTAACAAACCCTGCTTGGCAGGGCCTTGGGTGCCCAAAAGCTCCGCCATGCAAGTGTTCATCTCTTACTATTGCTCTGGCAGGGCTGGATATGTCTCACGTGGTATTTCACTGGGTTTTTCCAGCCTTATACATCACTTGACTCAGGAGGAAGCCGTGGGCACAGAAGGGTAATGGACAACGCAGCAGGCTAGAGCCCCTAACCAGCCTTCTGTGAGCCCAGCCCTGACTTGCAAAGCCATGGCAAAACACCCAAACGTGGGACTCAGTCTCCAAATAAGACTCCCCTGCATTTTCACCGAAGCAATTCCAGGCCACTGAAGTTCCCCAAGGCAAAAAGCAGACAGTGGAGGCCCTCAGACACTAACAACCAAATTCCCCCATTGCTATTCACACTGAACGCAGGCCTGGGCCAGTGTCAGCAGCACCAGTCGTGTGTCAGGTGACAAAATGGCACCTCAGACCCATGCCTCGGGTCCTTTCCTGCCCAGATGACTGCCACCCTACTCAATGGCCATCTGAGCTTCCCCCTGGGCAAAGCCTGTGCCACTGAGCCCTCACCCCACAGAGCAGAACAGGGGCTTTGCTCGTAGCAAATGGGAATGGGAATGACAGAGGGTCATTCCCAGCAAGGTCCTCCCACTCACAAACAGGGCAAAGGATGGAAAAGGAGCAAAGGCTGGCAGAAGAACCTGCTCACTCCTAGGAAACCCTGATCCTCCGTGGTGCTTCAGCCAGCGAGGTCAGCCCACAGCTGCTCCCCAGGCCCAAGTGCCCTAGGGACACAGGGGAAGCTGCTTTTCTTACAGAGAGCCTGAGCACGCAGCCCTGCTCACAGGCAGAGCCGTGGTGGTGGTGCCTCCACGGAGCATCCCCCCAGCCCACCCCAGCTGTACCTGTTAATGGAGCTGACGCTGGGCACGGTGTCGTTGTCACACACTCGCTCGGCAAGGAGTCTGTCCCTGATCTCCCAGGCAAACATGGTGGGATTTTGGCGTTTGTACTCTGCAATTTTTTCAACGACTTTGGGTGTGGCGACCTTTGGTTTTGATCCTCCAATCACTCCAGGCTTAATACTCCCAGTTTCATAATACCTGGGACAACATCCAAAACAAAGCTTTGGTTATCACACACAGACAGAGAACATGCTCTGAGATTTATAGGGAACATCATTTCAAGGTAACCAAACCCCAGCAAATCCTGAGATACATCTTCACTTTCACATACACATTTCCTGCCTGTGTGGTTCTTTATCACCTAATAGATTAACTTATAGTAATTGGAATTGGGCCTCAGGATACAATATATATTTTTCTGTAATAGCAAAACAAAAGAAACAACGAAAGATTAAAGGGCATGCTGAGATCCAAAATTAACTGAAAATGTGTGTTATTAATCAGCAGTACTGGCAATAATGGAAACAAATCACACCAAAGACCACTTTTTGCAGTGGACCCTTTTGTAGCAGATTACTGTTTTTACAGAAATGTTGTCATTAATATCTGCAGCTTGTTATGATTCAAAGTGAAATGAAGGCTAGATATTGTATTTTATTTTCACCTCTGGAAGAAATACACCAGCATGTCTTTTTCCTGTTTTACGAGTTTAATATGCATATTATGGTTTTAATAGCTCATATTTTTCCAAACGTATTCTTTTCATCATTGTGTTTTCAGTAGTTTCAATAACAAATTTTGAGGGACAGGGAGCTGCTCATGCTCCGGAGGGCTCCAGCTGAGGCAGGGCTGGTTTCTGTGGCCAGCGCTTCCTCGGTGCAGCATCTTCACCAGCAGCAGCTCTGCAGGTGCCGTGCCCCAGGAAAGGTGGAGAAGGGGATCCCCAAACCAAAGCAAATCTGAGCGCTTTCTCTCGTGCACGTCTCACAGGACGAGCTGCTTTTGGTAGCTTTGCTGTAACACAGGGCAGCTGAGGCCCCTGCCCTGCAGTCAGCACATCCTGAGCGTGCTGCTGAGAGCAGGGGTCACATCTCCCGTGCTCAGGGCCAGGCTGGACACCGGGGAGGAGACTCCACTCCTCCGAGCTGCACTCAGGGCGCTCCCCACAGGAGGCTCTCTCACAGCCCTGAACTTATTTGTATCTTTGGATTTTCACATGACCAGAGGAGAAATAAACCCCAGCTAATAAGCCACCACCCCTTAGGCTGCCCTAATCCTGCGCCCCCTTTCACACAGAGCAGCCTCTCACCCAGGTGCCCACTGCAGCACTTGCAGCAGCTGCAGTCACAACTGCTCTCTGCCGCATTCCTAGCTCTGAAAAAACTCCCAAGCAGGAAGATAAGACTGCTTATTAATGTATTTTCCCTGCAACTATCTGACATAACCATTATAAAAATTTAAAAAAAAAAATCTCCCATCTTTTAAGCCTGAGCAGAGCACAAACAGTCTGTACAGCCAAAGTCTGCCTCCCTGCCTCCCTGAAACAGGCAATCATGTTCATCAGATTTTTGCCTGGCTACCCTTTTTCAGTGTTTCTGGGAGAGTTCTGTGTGCAGGGCCTAAGGTTCCTTTAAAGAAACTGACACCAAATTGTTCATACATGTTGTCAGATACTTTGTGTGCAAATGTTGACTCAGGCCTATGAGTCTCCATGAGCCATTTATGCAATATCAATAACGGCAGGAGTTGAGTGTTAGACATGGATTGACACTCCTGCTGTCCCTAAATGCTGTGAGCTTTAAGGCAGAGGGGAAAAATTTAGTTCCTCTTGCACTACCATGAGGACATGACAAAACAACAGCAAATGTGGCCCATAAACCTTCCAAAATCTTACACCTCTAGCCTCAAAACCTTGAAGCTGATGTTGCTGGCACCACTTCTTTGAGGAGGATGGAGAACGCAGCCAGGAGGCACTACAAATACTACCAGACAACAAGCCACAATTTTCCTAGATCTAGTCACAATTGTGGATTTCACAAATGTTTCTTAGTGCATTCTTGCAGCAGTGGCCAGGGTGAGTGCCCTGCAGTCCAGGACAGCCTGGCCAAGAGGAGCACTCCCAAAAGGAATGATGCTGTGCCGGTGCATGGCTGCTGCCACGGTAGGACAGCCAGAGAGGGCCCTTGCCATGGCAGCGCTGCAGCTGCGATCAGCTCCCCTGGGGACGCAGCTCTGGTGCCTGCAGGGCAGCAGGACCTCTGCTCTGGAAGGCTGTGGGCTCTGCCCACGTCCTGCCCTCGTGGCCAGGCACAGAGCCCCAGGAAGGCTGGCCCTGGAGGTTGGTGCAGGGCTGAGCCCAGGTCCCTCCCTGCATCACCGTGGGGACAGTCCTCACCCTGCCCTGTCACCAGCATCCCCTTGCTCTCCCCCAGCAGCGAAGCCGGGTGCAGCCACAAGGCCTGCAGGCTGCATGGCTCCAGCCCTTCTGACTCCCATCTCCATTCTAAAGGCAGGGACTGCTGCAGCCAGCGCTATTCCGTGGGCATCAGGCCAGGGCTTTTGGCTTCAGAGAGCTGCAAAGGCAGGTGTAGGGTGGGCACCACCACAGCACCTCCTCTGAGGGTTAAGAGCTTCACTCACCCTGCAACAGCTGGTTACCTGCCTCTGGATGGATTTTTAGAACTGCATCTAGTACTGAAAAATTTCTGATAATAAAATTCCAAATGCAAGGATTTATCGTAAGGATTCCCACTTTTCACACACATGCACACATACAAGAAAACATATACACACAGAGATGCAATTACAGAGACATTCCACCCACTGTAATTATTAGTTAGGAAAATAATGAGCTATGAAATTCCAATTTATTGTTGACAACTTTAATGGCAGAGCTCTGGAACCTCACTCTGAGCTCTGCAGTGCAAATATACCTAACAGCAGACCTAACTGCCAAAAGTAAAACCATCAGACTCCTGCCTGGTGGATAAATAGATCGCCTGTTCCCAGGCTGTGTGCTGGTCCTGACGGGAGCTGGTGGCAGCTCCAATGCAACAGTGAGCATCAGCAGGCAAGCCAGGTCGGCCAGGCAGGAGCAGGAAGGAGCCTGTGCTGGCTGCACGTAACTGAGGGAAAGAGCCCGTGCTGGGCAGCACAAAGCCATGGGAAGCTCTCCTCCCTACACCAAGGCACTTGTGAGCTCAGAACTCCAGCAGGAGAGGTGCGTGCAGGTGGCAGGGAAGGCACATCCCAGCGAGGAGGGGTGGGAGGCAAGGCAGGAGCGCGGGGCTGTGCAGCTGCTGCTCACAGTTCGGGCAGGCACAGTAAGGTGCTTGCGTGCAAAAAGCGACAAGAACTGCAAAACTGGCACCTGTGACCTGGCAGATCTGAACACTAGCACGGCCGCGGATTGATCAACACATCCCCCGTGTGCTGCTGCAAATTAAATGCCTTAATCGTCTTTGCAGCTATGCTGTGTCCTGGGAAGCATGTTTGTTAGGAACCGGGAAAAAAATTAAAATAAAAATAACAAAATGCTAAACAATGAAATTAACTGTGAAATCACAACAAACTAGTCTGTAATGAACTTTTCCAGGTGATAAAGACAAACGTTTTGTAAAAACAGAAGAATTGCCCTTAATATAAGTTGCCCAAGTCTATAAGAATACCTGGAGTTCAAAACCATTTGAAAATGGTAACTTACACAAATTAGGTTGAGGTTTGCACAGAAGATTAAGAAATCAAAAAGGGAAAAAGCAAGTATGGCATTTTTTACCTGAATCTACACCAAATTTTAAACGGCAATCAGGAAATAATATTAATTCTGTGTTGAATATCCTGTTGCCATAGTGTTTGGAGCAGCTCTTGGCCGAACAGAGAGCTACTCCCAAAGTAGCCAAAATATCTTTAAGATGGTTACCAGTTACTCATGGTGTTCTATACTCTCCTAATCCAGCAGAATACTGGAAAAAGAGGTTTAATTATAAACAATGGGATAGATTGCAGAATAGCTTGCATGAATGCACATGCCGCAATACTGATGAAATATATAATGACAATATTGTTTAAAAAGAGTTCAACTCAGGAAGCAAAACAAGTAATTTCCACAAGTTCTGCTTTTTTTCACATTTTGCTGAATATGACTGCCATATTTCCCTTCTTGTTCAGGGCAGACAGGTGCAGGACGTACACTATATATACATATATATATATATATATACATATATATATACAGCAAATACTGATGGCATTCTGCACTTTGCACTAGAATTAGAAGCTGTGACAGGGGCTAACAAGACCTGCGGATATTGGCTGCTTCTTTCCACATCAGACACACAGAAACACGACCCCTCAGGAGTCGCTCCCCTCACTGGACCGCTCGCCTGCCTCCGTTTGCCTGCAGCCCCCAGGTCCGGGGCTGGCTCCCACCCTTTTTCCCGGCGGACACAGCAGGATTTCCGTCCCCCTTTACCTGCCGAGTATTTTGCTGACACAGCCGTGGCTGACGCGGAGCTGCCGGGAGATGTCACACGGCCGGACCCCTTGGTGGGCGAGCTCCACGATCCTTTGGCGAACGACATCGGGGAGGGGGCGGCCGTTCACAAAAACACCCCCCAGCTGATTGACGCCTCCATGTCCTGGAACACACGGGGAGGGGGACAGGGGCAGGACAAGAGCCGTGTGAGAGTTTCAGCTGTCTCGGCAGGGCAGAGCCCCCAGAGCCGCCTCCCCAGGGCCGGACGCTGTCCCCCAGCAGCGGGCAGGTGACCTCGCCGCCGCAGGGACACTTTGCTGCGGGCAGGACCCTCCTGCCCGAAGGGGAGAACGGCCACCAGGAGCCCCTCGGTCCCGGGGCGGACCACCCTCCTCCCGGAGCCGGCACCGGCTCCAGGGCACGCCGGGCTGTCCCGCGGAGCGGAGGATCCGCGCAGCCCCTGGCTGGGAAAGCCGCCAGAATAAGGCTGGGTGATCCCTCAGCCCACACACTGCCTCTGTCCAAGCGCAGAAGGACACCTGAAATTAAACACGCTGCGTTTTGTTTTGGTTTTCCCCAGATGCCTTAAATTAATCGAGTGGGGGAAGGGGGAAATAGAGGGGGAAATAAAAAGAGAAAAAAAAGGGAGAGGAGAGACAGAAAGACAAGAAAGACAAGAAAAACAGACAGAAAGACAATAAAGACAGACAGAGAAAGAAAGACAGAAAGACAAAGACAGACAAAGACAGAAAGACAGACAGAGAAAGACAGAAAGACGAAAGAGAGAAAGAGAAGAAAAGAAAGAAAGAGAGAAAGAGAAGGAAAGAAGGAAAGAAGGAAAGAAGGAAAGAAAGAAAGAAATTCTGCCCTTAGAATTTTAGAATTTACAGCTGTCTTGACTGATATTATGATCCCACAAATAAAACAGGAGGACTTGGGCAAGCCCAGTATATGGCTCCTTTTTGAGCAGATTTTCACAGTTCTCGTTTAGCAAAGTGAATTATATATCTGAAGGGATATACGACCCACTTGGAGGAACAGCAGTGAAACTATGTAAACCCCATGAACACACATTAATACCCTGTACTAGAAGGTAATATAATTAACCCTTATGTTGTTATTCATCCAACTACTTATATTAGAGAGGGGTGGAGAAGCTAAACACAAGCCATAGAGATAGCACAGATGCCAATTCTGGAACAAAAGTAATACAGAAAATGTCTGTTTAAGCAGGATTGGGACTTACTGACTAAGCTGGCAAGCCAAATGCCTCAGCATTTAAAAAAAATGTATACAAAGCTATTTTTATTTTAATCTTGTTATCTCACTATCGATAAACTGCTGTCAAACTTTGCAAACACCTTTCAACAGTGTAAGGACACGTAGTGAACCCGCATGAAAGAGGTGATGTTAAAGGCTGTGGGGAGCAGACAGGAGCCTGCTCTGCCCTCGCCGGTGCGGGAGAGGCAGACTGCCAGCGGCCCGCGCTGCGCTGCCGTGCGCCGGTACCGGGGGGTCCCGGCACTCCGGGCTGGGGGCCAACGGGACCCGCCCGGAACGAGACCCCGGGCTCCACAGGGCTCTAAGTGCAAGGAATCGTCAGTTCGAGTGGGAAAATGTTGTGGTGGTGGTCGGGCTAGGGGGGAAGGAGGGAGAGGGAGGAAAAGAAAGGAGGAAAGGAGGGGAGGGAAGGGAGGGAGGGAAGGAAGGAAGGAAGGGAGGGAGAAGGAAGGAAGGAAGGAAATTAGATAAAAATAAAAAGAAACGAAAAGAAAGGGAAAGAACAGGAATAAAAGGGTAGAGAAGGCATCGTTAGGACTTGCTTCCTCAGAGAAGGGGCCGACTCTAGCCCTGGAGCCCGTCCCCAGTCCCCGGAGGCCGGCGGGAGCCGGGCCTGCCCAGGCCGGGAGCATCGACCCTCCAGGCGCCGGAAACAAAGGCTGGGGCCACGGCCGTCCCTGCCTGCAAACCTGCCGCAGCCCGGGCAGCGGCAGCGCTCCGGGCCCGGCTCCTGCGCACCGGGCCCCCGCGCCGGGGTCGCGCTCCCCGGCAGCTGCGGACCGGGGGCCCCGTCGGGCCGGGGGCTGCTGCAGCGGCGGGGCATCGAGCTCCGTCCGCGGCTCGGTGCGGGGATGAGGCAGCCGCCCCTGCCCTCCGCAGGGAGGGGGACGGGTAGAGACTTGGGGGCTATTTCGGGAGGGGGGAGCCCCGATGCGGGGTCCGCGGGCCTAGCCCAGAGCCATGGTGCAGCCGGGCGGGCGGGGAGCGAGCGGCAGCGAAGGGAAGCCGTCCCGGGGCCCCGCCGGCGCGGGTCGGGGCCGCTCCGACCGTGCCCTGCCCGCCTCGTCCTCCTCGCGTCCCTGCACGGAGGCGGCAGCGGCTCTGCCCACGCAGGACGGGGAAGCAGCGGGGACCGTGCCGGCGCCAGAAGGGACTCAAATCTCGCTCGGGACCGCCCCGGCCCCGGCCACCGTTCGCCGTGGCCGTGCTGCCACCTCGCTCCTCCCGCTGCCGCCGGCTCCCCGTCCTCCTCCGCCTTTCTGCAAGGGGGTCCCGACCCCACGTCCACCCCCACACCCCCGAGGAGCCGCGGGTCCGGAGATCGTTTGGCAGCAAATGACCTGGGAGACTTCCCGGCCGCCGTCGGGACCGGAGAAAAGGCACCGGCGTTTTGGTTTTATTCCTTCTGTTTGCCCAGAAATTCCTGAGGACGACATCGATCTTCCTCAGCCACGAATGACGGCAGAGGCGCCGCGGCTGCTCCCGCCCGGGGCTCCGGACTCCCTGGGCTCCGGTTCCGCTCGCCACCGGGGCGAGGGGCGCTCCGGCTGGGGGATTCCGGCCCACCCCCACTCCGCCCCCGCACCGCACGCAGCGGGCTCCCCGACCTCAAAGTTCGCCTTGGAAAAAAAGTGATTTGGTTTAATGCCGGGAGAGAAATAAAGGCGGAGGTCGAACGCTTCGCTGCCGCGAGAGGGAAAGTCCTCTTTCACGGGGGCGGCAGAGCCCGGCCCCGCCACCGTCCCGGCTCTGCACAGCCCCAGCGAGCGGCGAAAGACGGATGAGAAATGGGCAGATGAGCCGGGAGCGCGGAGAGGACGAGGGAGAGACGGAGGGAAGCTCCGGCTCGGGAGCTCGGTGATTTATTTTGCAAACAAATTTCTTTGAGCCGAAAGGCTGCGGCGCACCGGGAAATGAGATTAGTTCTACCTTAAATTCCCTCGCAATCTCTCGCCGTAATGCAGCGTTTAACTCGCCGTGAGAGAAGATGTCATTTCACATAACACTGTGCTAATGGATAAGTCTTCCCCGACCTCTCAAGCACAACAAATCTCGGGCGAGCCCATCGCGCACGACCTGTTAACTTCGCCGGCTGCCCGCTCCGCCGCCCCACGCCGCGATCGTGACGCCATTCTTCGCGGTTTAAAAAGACAAAAATCTTCCCTCCAGCCCCGCTCCTCGCCTTTCACATTACTTCAGTTTGTTCGGGGTTTTGGGGGCTTCTATTTGTTTCTTTAGGGGTTTTAGTTGTTGAGGGTTTTTTGTTTGGTTGGGTTTTTTTCTTTATTTCCAATTAACGAATTTCAAAATGTTGAAAAAGAGAAAGAATACCGTGCAGCAAACTTTTCCGTTCGTCGGAAATACCTGGCGGCTTTTCTCCCGGATATTTGATTTAGGGAGAAAAATAAGCGCACACATGTAACATCTGTGTATTCATCCCTGCACACGAGCGCGGGTCCCTGTGTACCGATGGCTGTACACACGTCTAGCGACGTGTTTGTAGATCCACCCGCACAGATGCACGCACGCAGCGACATCGGCTCTTCCTGTGCGGGAGAGCAGCCCCGGCCCGGCTCGCTCCCGCAGCGCCGCTCGGCTCAGCCCGGTCCGGCTCAGCCCGGTCCGGCCGGGGCGGCGGCGGGCACCCGGCACGGCGGCGATCGCGCGGAGCCCGTCGCGGCCGCTCAGACAAGTTGAAGGGCAGCCACTTACTGTGCATCGCTGCGAACGGGTCGTGCTTACAGTGTATTTCCATCGGAGCGGTCCGGGGCCGGGCGGCCTCGCCGAGCTGATCTCGATCCGCCGGCGGCGCTCGGCGTTCGGGCTGAGAGAGGGAGCCCGCGGAAAAGGACGGAGACCGACCAGAACCCAGCAAACAAATTAAAAAAACCCCAAACAAACACATAAAACCAAAACAAAAACAAAAAAAAAATTCCAAAAACAACCAAAAAACCCAAACCGAACGAAAAAAAAAAAATTAAAAAAGGAAAAAGGGGAAAAAAGGAAAGACAACCAAAAAGGGGCGAAAAATAAAACAGAACAAAATCCCTCAAAAAGCGAAGAGTCCTGCCGCGCGGCCGGTCGCGGTATCCAAGAGCGCTGGCCGAACGCGGCTCCCGAGCCGCCCGCAGCCTCGGGAGGCTCCGTCGGGGGCCGCGGAGCGCCCGCCCCGGGCTAAGCCCCTGGCCGCGGCCGCTCGGCGGGCGGCTGCCGGTGCGCGGCACCCACCGCGGGGCTCCGGGGCGTCACTGGGCGCGGAGAGGGGCGAGCGCCTCTGTCCGGCGGAGCGGAGCCCAGCGCTGCCCGCCCGACGGCTCTTTGTGCTGGCGGTGCCGGC